TCTGACGGAAACTTTCTTTTCCCTGGGAAATCCACTCGATTGCACAAACGAAGCCACATGCCCCCATGAGCGCCGGGATGCGCTCCTTCCCCCTTGGGACAGAGGTGGTCGCTGACAAGCAGCTCCCTTTCAGCACCGTCCGGTCCTCTCTGCACGGGAGGGTCTGCGTGGGCCTTTCACAGCTGCTTCAGAGAAGCGGGTTGTGCGGACGCCCCACAGCGGCACTTAACAGTTGGTGTGGCGGGACACGGGGCCTCCGTGGTAGTCAAGCCGGCGCCTGCATTTCTGCACATTTGGGCTCAAATCCTGGGTCAGAGGTTGGGCACAGCTCACCCTCTGATGGCTCTCGCTAGACGTCCCATCTTCCCCCACACGTGGTTGGCAGTGGGCGGAACCTCGGCTGGAGTCCGGCCCTGGTTTGGCCCTTCCCGCCGCCCCCCAGCCCTGCTGCCTGTAGCCAGCAGCCCAGCTCCGCCCGCCACAGGGAGGCTTGAGGACAGGGGAAACCGGAAGGGGCAGGTGGCGAAGTTGACAGCCGTCCCTCCTGTGTCCAGCACACTCGCCGCCAGCTGCCACCCAGCACGTGCTCCCGCACCTCCCCCTCAGGTGACCGAGGGCGCCCCAACTCCCTCTCTCCTCCAATCCGTCTGCCCAGCCTAGCCGTCCCTACCAAACAACCTCCACACTTAGTGGCTTCAAAAAATAAGGAGAGGGGAAAATAGGAAGGACAAGTTTCACAAACGATGGCGTCATGTCGAAAGACCACAGCCACAAGTGAGCTAGGCAGGTCCCCACTGTCCAAAATCTGCGGCATTTGTGCCTCAAATAAATAACAATAGTGAAGGGTTACAATAATCAGCTGAATAAGGAACCCCCGAGTCCATCCTGATGGGAAGGTGGGCTGGTGGGAGGAGGGCAGCTCCTCATGACGTGGGAATGCCGGCCCACAAACCCAGGATGGATGAGGGGTGAAAAGCGCCACTCCCCAGTGGTAATCAATGATCCTCAGGACAGAGTCAGGCACGGGTCCAGGAGGAAGTTGAAACTGAGTGGCTGAAACTTTGGGGGGTGGGGGTTGGTGAAAGAAAGGAGAAATCCAATAGACACCCCCGAACCAAGTAATCAAATTAACTTTGCCAGTAACTTAGATAACTGTAGATAAACTACAGTTAAGTTAAAGTCACTGCTAAGATGCGGCGAGAAGTCAGCGTCTGCGCGCTATTCCTGCCAGAAGCGCGTAATGTGAGCCTGGTCGTGAGCAGGTGCGCGAGCCCAGCCGGGAATTCCACAAAATAATGAAGCCTGGACACTTCAGAAACGTCAAAGTCCTGAATTACCAAGGAGGGGGCGGAGGGGGGTCTAGAAGAAGGGGGGCGGGGGGGGGGGGGGGGGGGGATGGGGGGGATGGAGCCGCGGAATGCAATGCAGATCTCGGATGGTCTCCGCCATAAAGACATTGTTGAGACAATCGATGGTCCCCTAAGGCCTTAGGTGGACAAACAGCATTGCTCTGATGTTGTTTTCTTGACGCGGATAACAGTGCTGTCGTCACGTAAGAGAATTCTTATTTTTAGGAAACACACGCTCAGTGTTTGGGGGTTAAGGGAATCAGCTTCTGCTTATTCTTAAATGGTTCAGGAAAAACTAAGGAGAAACAGGAGAAAACAAAGACAGTACACGGTTAACGTTGAGGACTTCAGGATGAAGGCTATCCAGTAACACTCTGCACCGCTCTTGCCAACAGTTTGTGTTTGGAAATCATGTTCCCTGATTCTAAAACCTTAGTGACTTAAGGGGCGTCTGGATGGCTCAGTCAGTTAAGCGTCTGACTCTTGGTTTCGACTCAGGTTGAGATCTCAGGTCATGGGATCAAGCCCCTCTGTGCCGGGCATGGAGCCTGCTTAAGATTCTCTCTCTCTCTCTGCCCCTCCTCCCATATAAACAAATTAAAAAAAAATAAACAAACCACCTTAGTGAGTTAAAGTAACGAGGTCACCACCTTGCTCATGGGTCTGCGCCCTGGGCCGCCGTGCGTCTCTGCCCCCCCCACGGCGTCAGGGGTCACAGCGTCCCAGACTCGGCGGGTTCCCGGAGCCGCCATCCCAGGGACGGGGAGTGGAGGCAGTGGGCACAGTGTCCGGGCTGCTGTGTTCTGGGGGCCGAGCACTCACGGACGCCAGCTCCAGAGGGACGCAGTGGAGACCCCACCTCTCGCCGTCAGGGGTCTCACACAGCTTTGTGTCAAAACTACTAGGCACCATCCAAGCGGTAACCAGGTGAGGCCGGAGAAACGTGAATCCACTGGATTGCAATAATCGTCTGTTACAAAGAGTATGTATGTCAAACGCCCTGTTCTGTACCTTAAATGCTTACGATTGTTGTCAATTACATAACTGTGAAGCTGGAAAAAGATCATTTTTTTCTGGCTACAGGGAAAAAACCCCCACTACGCATCATCCACCCGCTCTTTTCTCAGTAACTTCATTGAGATACAGACCCTAACGTTTGCCATTTCAAAGTATACCATTCAGCAGTGTATTCACGTGTCGTGCCTCCAGCACCACCACCAAATTCCAGACCTGTTTATCACTGCAGGAGAAACCCGGAGCCCGGAGCCCGCTGAGCGGTGCCCCTCCCCCACCGCCCCTCCCCCACCCAGCACCACCCATCTGCTTTCCGCCTCTGTGGATTTGTTCTAAACATCTCATATCCACAGAACCGGACAACCACTCTTTTGTCTCTGGCTTCTCCCAGCATGTTTGCGAGGTTCACCCGTGTCCTGGCGTGGATCTGTGCTTCCCTCCTTTTCACGGTTGAATAATACTCCGCGGTGTGGACAGAGCACATTTTGGCTCCATTCATCTGTTGATGGACATTGGTCTCCGCCTCTTGGTGTTCGTGAACAGTGCTGCCGCAAACACGGTGGAGCAGTTGTGTATCTGAGCACTGTCTCTCGGTTCTCTGGGGCCTGCGCTCAGGAGTGTACCTGCGGGGTCCTGTGACACCTCTGTTCACACGTGACCAACAGCCCACTTCCCACCAGCACCACGTCCTTACCAGCACTTGTTAGCATCTGTCCTCGTGGGGGTGATGGGGTGCTGCAGTCATCCTTCCACTCTGAGCTCCTACTCAGTGCCCACCCTGTCCTCCGAGCTCACGCACGTGGGTCCTGGCACTCCTGCAGGGATGGGGCTGTGGGTGGGGGAGACAAGGAAGGCAGTTGGGGGGCTGCAGGCAGGCGTGGCTGGAACACCATAAGGCCTCTGGCGGCCTCTGCGCTGGGAGCCCCACTCCCGTCTGCTGGAACGAGGGCCCTTGTCACCCTCTCCCAGCCCACAAAAGCAAAAGAAGGAGGGCTTTGGACGGGGTCTTGGCTCCGGCTGCTACAGCACAGTACCAGGTGGAGCCCAAAGCGCAGCCATTTCTTTCTCTGGGTTCTGGAGGCTGGGAGTCGGAGACTCAGCTGCCTGCAGCCTTGGTGTCTGGTGAAAGCCGGCTTGCTGGCCTGCAGACCGCCCCTTGCAGCAGGTCCTCATGTTTGGGGCGGGGGGGGGGGCAAGCAGTGGGAGAAGACTCGCCCGTTTCTTCTCATAAGGGCACTAATCCCATCACAGGGCCCCAGCCTCCAGCCCTGGGGCTGCATAGATCCTGGACCTCAGTTCCTTCCCCCCGCTGACCTCCTGGCCTGCTTCCTGGAGCCCAAGGGTCTGGGTAATGACAACCACCACAGCAGGGAGAGGAGCGCTACGGGGCGCTGGGCATCTCCCACAGGCTTTCTGATTTACACCCTGCACTGCCCCCAGCAAGGTGGCCCCACTGCCGCCTCCCTCCTCCCCAAGGTGGGCAGAAGGGCCGCACCGGCCACACCAGGGAGCACAGTTCTGGGCTCTGAGGGACACCCTCTCCCTGTGACAAAGGCCGCTACCAGTGGCCGCTGACAGAGGGACTTCAGGCAGGGCCAACAAGGGCCTGCAATGGAGAGCCGTCCTGAGTCCCTCTGGAAATACACCGGGACCCACAGCCATTCCTGTGAACAAGACCATCAAGAGGCTGGGCCCCGTCTCCCCTCTCTGGTCCCTGCCCGCCCGTGGACACAGCTGGCCATGCATCCACACTGTGCACCCTTTGCCAGTCTTCACCTGGGCCCCACACCCTCCTTCTCCCCTGAAGCTCAGCCCTTCCGGCCGGCAGCCACGATGGACTAAGGTCCCTTAACCGCTGACCGCTGCCTTGCTGAAGCACCCGGTCTGGTAGGAGCCTCGAGCTCAGTGTTTGTGCCCGTGGCCTGTCCCTTCACGCCAGGCCATCTGCTCCATACAGGAAGGCACCCGGCTTGCGATTGCGGGGCTGTGGACGGGACACGTGCTCGACAGTTGCTCGGGGCCTCCTTCCTGGTGTGGGGTGGGGCTGCAGCCAGAGACCCCCTAGAGGAGGAGGGCGTGGGGTTCTCTGTCGCCACGGAGCCCTCACTCTGGGAGGGGGGACACATCCTCTGCCGTCAAAGGGACTGGGAGAGGTTGCAGAGCCCCACGGTGCAGGTGGGGAAACTGAGGCTGGGACTGATGCCTCTCCCTCCCCACCCCCGCCCGCCCCCGGTGTTGATGAGGGCCGTGCCCACTCCCAGCCCTACCTAGTTCCCTCCTCACGTCCCACCGTGGGGACCCCAGAACCTGCCCTTTGACAACTGAATGGGACAGCAGGACCCCGAAGGTGCAGCACGTCTGGATCGGAATCCCCACGCCCCCCTCTCCGGTAGCGTGTCCTCGGGAGCGTCACTAAATGACGTCACCCTCGCCCGCAGACAGCAGGTGCGAGACCGATCGGCGGCAGCGACGCTCGGCCGGCCTCCCGCCGCCAGAGAGCGCGGCAGGCAGCACGCAGGCGTCGCGGGGCCCCTGACGCCGCCCGCGCGCCCTCCTCGCCACTGCGGTGTTTTGCTTCCGGTTATTCCGGAAGTTGGGTGCCGAGGGCGGTGGAGGCGACTTCCGGTTCCGGGACGGCCGTGGCGGCTGCGCGGCGCCGGGGCTCTGGGACCGTGGTGCGTGGGCCGCGGCTGCCGGCGACACCGATCCGTCCCCGGCCGATCGGAGGCGGGCCTCGCGCGGCCTCCCTGAGTCGCTCCGCCCGGCGGGGCCGCGGCCCGTTCGCCCGCACGCCGCGGACTCGGACGGCCCAGGGACGAATGAATGAATGAGCGGGCGAGGGGACGGCGGACCGGGCGCCGGGCTTCTCCTCGGGTGACCCCTCGGCGGCGAGCCGCAGCGCGGGGCGGGGGACAGGATGAACCGGGCCAAGCCCGCGACGGTCCGCAGGCCCAGCGCGGCGGCCAAGCCGTCAGGTGCGGGCTTGTGCGGCGGCGGGGGCTCCCGGGCATCGGGGCCTCCAGGAGGCGGGCTCCCTGCCTTTCGGCACATCCGAGGCAGCAGACAGCCGCTGAGGGAGCCGCGGGGCCAGGGGCGGGTGCTGGAAGCCCAGGGCGGGGGCGCTGCGCGGCTTCAGATCCGGCTTTGTCCCCCGCGAGCTCTGTCTGTGCCTTGTTTCCCTCCTGTGCGAAGCCGGCGGGCGGTGCCTGGCTGGGAGTCTCGTGGAGGCCTGGCCTGTAGTGAGCGCGGCGTGACTGTCGGCGGCTGTCGTCACCCACCGCACCGGACCCGGCTGCGCCCTGGGCTTGCTGGCCACCTGTCCCTTGCCTGCCTTGACCCTTGTTTAGTCCCCTGTGAGACCGCAGGAGGTTGCCGTCTGTCTCCAGCACCCTTTCCACCGCCGCCACCGTGTAAAGTGCACGTTTCTCCACCTCCCTTCTCTGCAGGGCACCCTCCACCAGGAGACTTCATTGCTCTGGGCTCAAAGGGTCAGGCCAACGAATCCAAAACGGCGTCCACCCTGTTGAAGCCTGCCCCTTCTGGCCTGCCTTCCGAGCGCAAGCGGGACGCCGCAGCTGCTTTGGCGGGCGCCTCAGCCCTGACCGGCCTCACCAAGCGCCCCAAACTCTCGTCCACACCCCCCCTGAGTGCCCTGGGGCGCCTGGCTGAGGCTGCAGTGGCAGAAAAGCGTGCTATTTCTCCATCCATTAAAGAGCCATCTGTGGTCCCAATTGAAGGTAAAGTCTGTTTCTGAGCTTCCCGGAGAGCACATCCCACACCTTGTCTGTCTCCTGGGGGGGCCGCTGAAGGCTGCTTCCAGGCTTAGCGCCAGAGCTGAGCACAGGTTCTGTGCAGAAGGTGCAGAGGAGTCATCTGGGAGTTTGTTCTGCAGAGCACTTCTCACGCAGGTGCCTTTACCCCACGTGTGCTTCCAAATTCTGTGACGGAGGTGGGGAAATATTAACGGGACCCAGGGCGACGTGGCACAGGCAGGTCTCAGGCCCGAATGCTGCGGGCACGAGTGCCGGCCAGGGCCCGTCCCCGCAGTGAGCTCAGCGTCCTGCTCTTAGCAAAGCGGGCACGGGCTGTGCTGGCGCCCCGTCAGCGGGGAGGTGGACGGATGGTGGCTCTTCAGCTGTTCCCGTGTCGTGGAGGAGCCCCTGCTGCACTGCCGGCGGCTCTTCTTTGGGAGCAGTGTCCTTCCTTTGCCCGGTGGCTCATCTGATGTCCTTGCTGAGCACCTCCTTTGTGACAGGCTCTGCTCCACGCACTGGGGATCAGCAGAAACTGAGACCAGAGCCTTGTTCTTGCGGGCTCTGTGTTCTCGTGTGTCCATCTCTCTGCCTGGGGTGGGGACGTTTGCACTTCAGTAATCTCTACTAACGGCCAAGAGCTCGTTGGTCTCTTTCTCTTTAGTTGGGAAAGTAATACTACAACGTTAGGGACGTCCAGGAAAATTTTCTTAGAAATTACTTGTGATTGTGTTCTTTACAGAAGGGCTTTTAATCTCTATGCACCTCAGGTTGCCCCTGCTTTTCTGTGTCACCTTCCCATTGGTTATTTCTAGCTGCTCCACGATACCCCGTAGATCAGATCCGTTAACTATCAAGCCAGCCCCAGGTTTTTAGCATAGAGATAGTCACACAACAGCTTTGGCACGGAGAAGGCTCATGAGGGATTTGTGAAGTTCAGCCCTAAAGACTGGACAGGGTTTTGACGGGGGGTTGAGGATGTTGGAGAATAAGCTGCTGAGCGAGGCATCCAACCTGGAGAGTGGGACTGTGCCCAGGGAACGGGCAAGGTCTGGGCAGCTCCCAGGGGCGAGAACCCAAGCTGGCAGGCAGGGAAGATGCAGTTGGCTGCGGTGAGCCTTGGGGCATGAGGAGCAGAAGACACGGCTGGCGCTAGCTGGGCTTTGGAAGATGAATCAGACCTCTGTCCATGCCCAACCCTCCCAGGCGGCACCCACCCTGGCCGCGAGGGCTGAGGCCCCGGCTTGCACCACGGTTCTCCCGGTTACTGGCTGGCATCTGCCATACAAGGTGCTTCTGGAGATCAGATGAAACGCGGTTATGGAAAGCGTGTTCTGAGCGATGAAGCACTTCACAAGCGTCATCAGTGAACAGAAGGTGGAACACAGCCGAGCGCAGCCCCTGGCACATGGAACATCGAGGTCTTCCCTGAGTCCAGTGCGTCTGCGCGACCTGCTTGCCTTGTGTCCCGGACCCCTGGGAAGCGTTCAGCTGGTATCGCTGAATCCTCTGCCCTTGCACAGTTAACTCACACCAACGGCAGCACCTCTCTCTCTGTGTGTTTGCATCTTTAAAAACCCCCGGGAGAATCTCTTGGCCCCAAGAAGATGCTACAGTGGGGATTACAAACTGTGTGTGAGCGATACCGAGTGTCGCACCAGGAAGAGGTGTGGTGGACCTGGCAGGCTCCCGGGAAGCTGGTGGTGCAGGGAGGTTGGTGAGCTCCGTGTGCCGCTGAAGCAAGATGGCGGAAAGAAGGAAAAGCTAAAGAGATGGCAGAAGTGAACACGGGAGAGAAGATCAAAACCCAAAGAGGGTTGTTTGCAGAGACCGTTGAAGCAGAAGCCCCCGTGCGGAGCGGGTCTGAGGGGAGGGCAGAGGCAGGCAGCGCCGGGAGGGGAGACCCGCAGAGAAGCCGCTGCTGTTAGAGGAGAAAAGGCGATGAATGGCATTGGGCCGGTTAATTTGGAAACTTAGAAAAAGTTGGCCGATTTGTAGAAAAATGTAGTGTAGGAGCAGCTAACCCCAGGGTAGCCGTGCGGGAGGCGGGGAGGGGTCTGGAGGTGGCTGGGCCAGCGCTAGAGGCTGGAGGGCACTGTTCCCGCTGTGGCTCGTTGTTGGCTGGGTCAGCCCGTGAGGCAGGCGGCCCCTGCCTGCTCCGTCCCCAGATGTTGCTGCTGTCTGCCCTGAGACCCTCACTCACTGGGCTTGTACAGGTTTGCCCTGTTGTCCACTGGCTTTGGGGGGATCCTGAAGGCGGGTTCTGACCACGCCCTTCCCGCACCTGCCAGTGCCCCCCTCCGCGCTGCTGGACGAGATCGAGGCCGCCGAGCTGGAGGGCAATGACGGCCGGATCGAGGGCGTGCTGTGTGGGGCCGTGAAGCAGCTAAAGGCCACCCGGGCCAAACCGGATGGCGCGCTCTACCTGAGCCTCATGTATCTGGCCAAGATCAAGCCCAACATCTTCGCCACAGAGGGTGTCATCGAGGTGAGGACTGGCGGGTCTGGTGAGGCCCTCGCTCTGGCCTTGAGTTCCCCCCCCCCCCCCCCCCCCCCCCCCCCCCCCCCCCCCCCCCCCC